TTTTCATATCTGGGATCAGTGGTGGGATTCAAATAATTTAACAACCGGTTTTCTGCCCTAATGACCAACTGGGTAGGTGTGGCTTGGTGGTCATGTGGTTGGGGGGCATGGCCAACTCAATGTCACTCACATCGATGGGCACTTCGCCTTAGCTGTTACAATGTAATAAGAGTTAAGCGGAGAGGCAGTTTCTGTAAGCAGGGCAATAAAGATTAGGCTAGAAACAACACCAGAATGTTTCCTTCCTGCTTTCCTTACAGGATTAGCCCTGTAAAGTGGGGGGAAAAACAAAATAAGATTTCTTCCAACAACCGGTTCTCTGAACTGCTTAGAAAGTTACCAACCGGTTCTCCCGAATAGGTGCGAACCGGCTGAATCCCACCACTGTATACAAGAGTGAAATACTAAAAGCAAAGTAAAACATTTTTTAAAAAAAAAATATCCCACAAGTTCAACCTTATTTACTGAAGATCAGAGTAAAATCAATAAATATTCTATGCTATAAAAATACAGTGGCAATGTATTTTTCCCCTCCTTTTCTTTGGGAAAAAAAAAATCCTTCGTTCTAAGCAATTTACTGTAATCATTTTACATTCTTCAGCCTGATGCTAAAAAAAATAAAATAAAGAATGTAAGTTACAAAGGAGTGAAATGCTAAAAGCAAAGCAAAAATTAAAGAAAAAGAAAAATTGGGTGGAAGAGGAGAGCAAAATCCTGCGAATGAATGCAGATATTCCACGAGTGACAATAGCTCATTTAGCGGCCATTCAAAGTTACGACAGGACTGAAAAAAGAGACTTATGACCATTTTTCACACTTACGACCTTTGCAACAGCCACATGATCATGGGATCAAAATTCAGATGCTTGGCAACTGACTCATATTTATGACGGTTGCCCTGTCCTGGGGTCATTTGATCTCCTTTTGTGAGCTTCTGGCCAGCAAGGTCGATGGGGGAAGCCCGATTCACTTAACGACCAACTAATCAACTGCAGTGATTCATTTAACAATCGTGGCAAGGAAGGGGGCAAAAAGGGGCAAAACTCACTTAACAAATGTCTCACTTCACAACAAAAACCTTGGCCTCCGTTCTGGTCGTAAGTCAAGGACTGCAAGTAAATATCTTATGTCCTATAGGTAGTCCTTGACTTCCAACTGTTGAGGTTACAAAAAAAAGGGACTTGCAACTGATCCTCGAACTTACAACTGTCGTAGCCTTCCCACGGCTGTGTGATCAAAAAATTGGGTGCTTTGCAACCCGGGA